ATTTCAGTTTTCTTGTGCATCACTTTGTAAAAGTTTTAGGAATGCTCTATATCAGCTGTCATATGTTTTCAACAAATCTCCACCCCTTTTGTCATGGTGATAACTTGCTGTTCCTTTTCCTTTTCCTTTCACCACTTTTCCATTGTGCTTCTTGGGTTTATCTCCTCAACAATTTCTCAAACTCTAATTCTTTTCTTGGAATCTTTCTTTTGGGGTGCGGGGCATAAACTAAGATGAAGACATTTTACGATATACTCCCACTCACTTTAAGGCCCTGTTACCTGGTTTTCTCCTGTATCTTAAGCTGAATACCATTAGCCCATCTTCCACTGTCACATAACAACTAGATGTTTGACATCTTTCTAAGAGATTTTCCCTCTGTAGAATGCCTTTTCATGCCAGTTTGCTTGGCAATTCTACTTTCAGGAATTGGGTCACATTTTATTCTGCAGTGACCTCTCTGTTTTCTCAGCTTAATACAGTTGCTCCCTTCTCTGTTTTCTCAAACACTGTCTTAAATTTAAGTTATATACATTATTTCCTAAGATGGTCACAGCAATCCTTCCAAACCCTCATAATCTTTTGTACTTTGACTATGAGTTCTTTAGTGAGAACCAGAACCTATATCCCCTCTCTTTATATTTAGGCTGAACTGTGATTGGCTTTGACAGCAGAACATAGACAAAGTGCTCCTATGGCACAAGACACTGCAGTTTCTATTGTCAGTCTTTGGAAGACAGATCTGTAAAGAATGTGGCTATGATTTGAATTTGGTCCCCAGGGGGTCCTATGTTGTAAACTAGGTTTCCAGGATGATCGAGTTTGGAGAAAATGTGGAACTTATAAAAGATGGGGCCTAGTAGAAGGATCTTAGGTCAATTGATGGTATTTTCTCAGAGGGTATTATGGGACATTGGTATCACTTTGGTTTCCTGTCAGGTAATGTGACTTTTTCCACATGTATTCTACCACTGGCGTATCATCTGCCATAAAGTGCTCATCAGAACTAAATTTATATTGATGTTATGTCTTTGAACTTCCAAAACTGTGAACTAAATAAACTTCTTCTCTTTATAAAGTGAATCGGTTCTGATATTTCATTATAGTCACAAAAAAACTGACTAATACACTCAGACAAATTGATCGGCAACAAATATCACATGGAATGGAGAAGAATCATTTCTGCCAAGACCTGTCTGAGTTCTTGGCTCATAGAAATCCTGAACAATTCAATAGTTATTGTTCTTAGCCTTTGAATTTTGTGACAATTTTTACACTGAAATAGTTTACTGCAGATCTGTTATAGTATTTGCCATTAAGTGATGTGAATACTTGTTTGTCTGTTTTCGTACTTTAGACTCTGAGTTCCTTAAAAATGGAAGGAGAATATTTTCATCACCAGAGTTATAGCATCTGACCCACAAAAATGGTTTACAATTAGAACCAATGGAAAAATGGAGACTCCTGGGGCTACTCTCATCCTCTTCAACACAGTGTTCCTCTACCCATCCCCTGCTTGAAATGTAATCATTTCCTATGTGTTGAGGATAGACCTGATCCTTGTCTACATCTCAAGCTAAGGTCTCTTGCCATTATCTTTCTCTTTCTTATTAAAGACTTTTTCTGTTAAAAACTGGAGCCTCCACAGGGAGCTCATTAAGAAGATTTCACACTGAAGATTGTTTCAGGGAAATGGAAATCGTGGAACAAAAGATATTCTAGAATGATTTTTGAATGGGTGCTAAGTCAAGATGAAAATCAGTTTCTGAATTCTCCTCAAAATTAGTAAGAGTATTAACCTCTGCTGCCTCACTGAGCCGCATAGACAGTGATTTTCACAAGGGTTTATCAGGAAGATACCAGAGTCTCTGGAAGAAATTTGTACCATAACAGAAGCACAAGTGTACCAGACACTACAGATTTGAGGATGTGACAAAAAGAAGACATTAGAAGGCTTAGCTGAAATGCTCCTAGAACTACAAAGGATTTCCACAGTAATCTGAGTCCTTTCCCTTCACCAGAACCTACTGCTCAATCCAGCCACAGCTATTTATCTGTCATTTTCTCTCTCCTCTGTAAGCCTCACTGATTTCAAGTCTCAATGGTCCTATCAGCTGTGTACTTCAGTCTGTGTAATTTCCTTTCTCCTTCCTGTAGTGATTTATGATTGTTCCAATGCCTTGGCACCAGCAATGCTTGAATTTATCTCTGTAGTTTCTTTTCCTTCTTCTCCTCATTAAGCTTCCAGAAATAAATCCCTCATTTGCTTTGTCATTTCCAATGCTTTAGGATTCAGTCTGGCTCTTTTGGAGTCTATAAATCTGTCACTCACTACCTAAGTAGTGGTTCCCCTAGAAAGTGTGGGAAGGGAACTGGAATGAGAGTGACATGAAGTTAGGTCCAAATCCTGGCTATGTTCCCTGTGATTCCACATATGTTCCTTAATGACTTCGTTTCCTGAGCTCTGTAAGTGACATCATGCCATGACCTCACAGGTACAGGAGACTTCCACCTAACATAGTGGAACACTCTCAGATACTATTTTTCTCCTCTTTTATGACTTCTATATCTATTATACTCATTTGTCCTGAAATCATGTCTGCTTTATGACAGCTTTTATCCTTGTATATCGTTTACTTTTTAATGTGCTTATTTGAATTTTATTATAGGTCTCCTTTCAATAATTGAATTATAAATGTCTTATTCATTTTCATAGGCACCAAGGATAACATTTCCATAAGAACTGGTGAATGAATTAATGAGGAAATGATAGGAAGAGCAACTAGCTAGTAGGAACTACCAGCCTCTACCAAGTAAATCCAAAAGCATTGAGTTAGAACACCTGTGACCTCAGGATTTTTGTTTTCTAGGAAAGAATTGAGTAGGGAAAACAGTTGATAGTGTTTTTCTGTCTAACTCAGGACCATTTTGATAGAGGGAAATGAACATTTCATCCTATTACAAATGATCACTGAAGACAGAGTTAAGAACATTGAAGATATACAGTTTTTCTCCCAAGGTTCAGGCCTTCCTATTTAAAGTTTGCTGGCAGGTCAAAAATAATTCATGTGAATTAAAAAGCAGTTATGTATTTAATAATTATAAAATAATTAAATGGGCTTGAGGAAATAGGTAAGAAATTACAGGAAATAATATGCTTATAGATTAAGAATTTTTCTGTCTCCCATGTGCATCTGATCATGAAGAGCAAAAACCCTCCATGATGATAGTGTTTTATTAGAAGCAAAAGACAGCATTATATAGGAGAAGTAAATAAGAAAAAGAGTTAATTAGTCATGAAAACCAAAACCAGCTCTACTGTATCCTCATGGTACATGAAGTTTACAGAGGAAAAAAAAAGCAAATTATTTACCTTCAGAAAACTTCAAAAAGAACTCAAGAAAATTTCCAGGATGGAAAGTCCTGGGCAGACTCACAGGCTATTTAAAACCCGGCTCCTTTGAGTCACAGGGAGGAAGATTCCCAAGCAACTGACTAACAGCAATTTTTATATTGTTCATTATGTTGGAAAACCCTTCAGCAGCAGAATATTATGGTGTCCCTCAAAATATAAAAGAGGTAACTGGTATTTCTGTGGGGTTGTGACTAAGCAGGGTAAAAAAGAGGTGAGAGGATCCTGGGAGAAGCAGGTAGGATTTTAAGTGATATGCCCTAGAACATGAGATCTGAAGGAAAATATTTAGAAGAACTCAGATGTCTGCAGGCTTTTATGGTTTGCTATGGGTAATACACAAATTTTGTGCACAAGACCTAGCTTGTTAAACGTCCCACGAGGCAAAACCGGGGACTGAGGATTCCTTCACATCATAGAGGGAGAAAATAGGCCCTTATGTGTTCTGTGACACTGTAATCTCCGCAGGATTTATTCTTTTTGGAAAATATTTTCCTAAGACATAATTGAGGCTTCAAGTAGAAGGCAATTTCAGTTTAGTAACACCTAAGTATGTCTTAGCCCACACACTCTGGACTGCCTTTCAGAAAGAGCTGTGAAGAAGACAGTGGTGGTTCTTAGGCTCTGCTGCTCCTGGGGAAGGGAGCCCTGATATCCCAGGATAGTAGATTCTTGTGGAGGCACTTAGTGACAAGCCATTATGATCTTGGGCTCTGTTCTTACTTGGGAGTGGCTATAACCTTGTATCTAAGAATCTAATCATAGACACAAGAATGTGGTTACAAACCAAGATAATGGGAAGGGAAAACAAGCTTTAAATGTGTATCTGCTTTAATGAAAACTCCCAGGGTCAGAATGATCCAGAAGATAAATAAATGAGTGGCCAGAGAGACATAAGCATTTTGGGGCAAGGAACAGCTGGGCCGTGATCCCAGAGGAAGCTTGCTTAACAAGGAATAGGTAGGGGCTTACATTTTAGGGACCACATCTGTGTATAGATGCCAAGGCTCCAGAGTGCCTTCTGCCTTTCTGACAGGTCACACTACTTCAGCTCCTGCTGCATGAGGCAGTCCCGAGAGAACTTTATTCTTGGGGCACTGCTGACTCCCTGAGACTCCTCAGTACTGGAAGATCTCAGGAGTGCCTTGCAGAGTTGCTCACTTCCCCAAAGTGAGGCTGCCTGGGGGGCTGCTCAGGTTTTTCCCTAGGCAGGTGACTTTCTGCCTCTTGCCCAGAGCAGCTCACAGGGCAGTGTGGAAAGTAGAGAACTGGCTTTCTGCAAGACCCTACCACACCCAGGCTTCTTCCCAAAATTTCTTGATTTCTTCCTCCTACTTAGCACATCTTCTAAAAAATTCACTTACAGAGTAATAACAGAAAAAGAAAGTGTAAAATGGAGCAGGAGGAGCCCTGCAGGTCTGTGTTAAACATGCTGCTTGAATTTCTGTGCACAGTGTTACAGTGAGTCACATTTTCTACAGCGTTTAAGCAAGCAATGGCTGTGATGTCAGAATTTTAAAAGCCCAGCCTCCAATCAAGGTTTGAGCAATGACAGTGTTCCATTGAACACTGAAAAGAACTTGCTTTTCAACTGAGGAGAGGAGGTATTTCATGTGCAGCATGGAAAAACACACCACACACATCACATAATCTCAGAAAAAGCAACTTTCACCTCCTCTTTGTCTTTTCAAAGTATAACAAATGCATCCAGGTCTCTTGACAGACGGAAACTTAGTTGATGTGTTTGTGTTTGAGCCTTCACAATCCTGCCCCTAAGGACTTGAAAGAAAACGAAAGTCTAGGAGGTAAGTCTGTGTTTTGCAGAATCTAAGGCTGCATGTCTTCCCTTACACAGAAAAGAATTTTTCTCCTTTCTCCACACTTAAACTTTTTTGATAGCTAAGCACATGAACATATTAGCTGAAGGGAGGATTCCAAAAGCATAAAACACTTCATCAAAAGAACTTTAAGTAGGAACTGCCTCAGACAACTTCACCAAGAAACAATGACACATTCAAGGCATTCAGAACAAGTGGGGGAGAGAGCGTCTTACCTGTATTTCTTTCACTACTCCGTTATTCATGTGCTTTTCATCGTGAGAAGTGTTGCTCTGCTTCTTGCAGTTGTGGAGAATCCCATTGCCCACGGTGTCACCTCCAGGGTTAGCCATTTGTAGGAAGTGATAGAGCCCGACAGTGTCCCTTCCACAAAGTGTCCCTGAGTTTTGATTTTCAGGTCGGTAAAGTGACGGGATCAGTCACCTCGGCGCTGAGTTCTTAAAGGAATCCGACCAGTCAGGCTTTTCCAAAAGAAGAGCTACAGAGCAAACAAATGGTTACCTTTATACTCCTCACCCCTTCTCAGACTGTGGATTCCATGGCAACAAACCTGCTTCCAAAACTAGAAAGGAAGTTGGTTATGCCAGGTCATCTTTGTGGCTGAGGAAGCGTGGGGTCAGTAAAACACAGGGACAGACTGTAAGGAGGAGGGCTGGGAGGCGGAGAATCTTTTAAAGATACACACACACACACACACACACACACACACACACACACACACGCACACTCTACTCCCAGAATCTTTTAAATACTATGCAGCTGATTTCAAATTGGCTTCTCTCCCTTATGCCCTCCCTCCTTCTCCTTCCTTTGCATAATTATAGTTTTTGGTTGTTAATCAAGTCTAAAAGTCATGATTTCATTTTGTTGTAAAATGACATTCAGAAGTGATTGCCAAGGTCTAGTGGGGCAAAGAAGTGAAAAGTTACTGTTTAGTAGTACAGAATTTCAGTTGGGGTAGAAGAAAAAGTTATGATGAGGGACTGTTACACAGCAATATACTTAATGCCACTGAACTGCATCCTGAAAGAAGTTAAAATGGTAAATTTTATGTGTTGTTTAGCATAATAAATAGCAACAAGATTCAAAGCCCACATTTAAACATATCGACTTACCTAATATTTACAATCAATGATATAAAAAGGAATTCTAACCCATCAAGAATTACAGTAAGAGAGAAAAATAGGAAACAAAATATTTAGTTTCCCCTCATGAATGCATTATCTTTATTACCTAACATTGGAAGGCCTCTTTATGTCTCAGTTTTTCCCTCCTTAAAATGAGACGCAGTCGTTTTGGTAGACGAATATCTAATGGAAATAATACTGTGGCTTGGGTCTGTTAATGTAGGTATTGTGAGGAAGATAAGCAAATACAGTGTCCCAGTCCTAGAACACTTCTGGTTTACTTATTAACTCTTGCTCCCTCCATGCACAAATCACCAGAGCTCTGTTTCTTTCTGTTATCATCTACGACAGCGTGATCTGTTGGAGAATATTAACCATTTATAGCCGGATGAGCCCTTTCCAAGCTCACCTTTGTGATTTGCCTGGGTTGGAGCTTAAAAAAAGACACCCCCAAATAATAGGGAGCTTCAACATAAAGTTCCTTTTTAACCTTCTCCTGTCTCTCCTTCTGTCTCTCTCTCTACACCCCCAAGGAAGGTCATACATACTAAAAACCCCTTTTCTTAAGTAAGATGTAATGCCAGTACATGTACTGTAATAGTCCCCAGAATTTTTGTTTTAGAGATAATCATGATGAACTTCTCAGAGTTACCTTGGCTGAAGTAGGTTAGAAGACTTCCATTTTAGAAAGGGTCCTGCCCCTTACCTGGAAGAAAGTCCTGCTGCTAGAAGAAGAATCTAAATGTACAGGTCTCACTGGGTTTCTCTGCGCAATACAAAAGTTTAGTATAAAAATGCATACTTTGCTCTGGGTCTGTGAGTCTTCATTTAGAAGAGTCGTGTATTCTATGATCAAATAAATTTATTGCGTTTTTCTTTTGTTAATGTGTCTTTTCATATCAAATAGGTATTGGCTGGTCACAACCCTTTATGTTAAACAGAGGGTCTTGGCTCCCTTTTCTGCACTTAGAGCAAATTAACATCTTTTTTTTGACATCTGACAATTAGGAAAGAAGCCCATTTATTGGATCATTAGACACAAACAAGCAGGCAAACAATCAAACAATAAAAGATAGTGCTGATTGCCAGAGCCTCATTTCCTGGCTCTAAGCTCTTTTGTTGGATGTATTTCCCCCACAGAATGATGTAGCTTCCAGAAGAGATTATAAGAAGGCTTCCCCAACCATGATTTTTATGTGAGGGTCTCCATTGTTTTCCATCCCAAAGAGTGGTAGAGGAGTGAGATAAGGTTTTGCGTCATATGAGAAGACAGACTCAAGGGCACAGAACATTTTTGCATCATTTCCAACCTGTGTCATTAGAACAGGACAAACTTTTCACTAGTCTCTCTGTCCCACACTTGTCACATGGGTGCCAGATTATTTCTTTTTTATCTTAGGCAATATTGAGAGGGTGAACTGATTACTGTTGGTTTCACTCCCTTGTGTTGCTTAGAAAGATAAGTTGAAGACATTGTATTATTTTAACTGAGCTCTATTATTCTGTAGAAGATATAAATGTTATTTTTTTGGCACTGGGATTAAATCATCAAATTACATCCTTTCTAAAGTTATTTTTGTTTCTTCTCTTTCTCTTTCACTTTTTCTTCCTCCTTTCTTTTCATCCTTCACACTTCTTTTTTTCCCTGCAGTTCCTTCTGTTCCTCATTTTACTTATTTTTTTTTACTTACTTATTTGTTTTTACAAGGGCACAAGAGCACCTGTAAAGAGAACACCCCAAAACAGTAGAAGTATATTTTAATATTTATCCTTAATCCTAGGTGCCAAGCCAGGTAATCACATAGATACTGTGAGGCAATACCAACCACATGCTCCCGCTCTTGAACATTTATATTTTGTTTGCTATATTGAAATGTGTGCTTCGTGTGCACAAGATCATTGTAGTGTACCAACAATTTGATATTAAGTACTACTGGTATGCTTAGTCAGGGTTAGTTTTTTATAAATGTATTTAGGACAGGGTCTACAAGTGTACAGGGTCTCACTATGTAGATCAGACTCATAGTGATTCTCCTGTTTTCAGTCTCCCAAGTGCTGGGATTATAGGTTTACACTACCACGTCCAGTCACAATCATTGTGCCAGTGTGCCCCAGAGGTGGAGCTGGCCCTGCACACTGGGAATCAAATCCTGGACACTGCACTCTACCTAAGCAGGCACTTTAGTCTGCTGAGCTAACTGGCTGGTCCTAGGGATAGCTTTTTTAATATTCGTATTATCTTTTTCTTTTCCTTTCTATTTTTTTTTTTTTTTGTACTGGGAATTGAATTCAGGACCTTGAACTTGCCAGGTACCACTGGTGCTGCTGAACCATATCTCCAGCCTCTTTATTCATACTATCTTTAGTAAAAGTAATTGTGGAGTTCTATTCAAGTGTGGTAGCTTTAAGGATTGATACAATACAAAAACACAAAGTAAATATTGAGCAAGATTTGATGTTATTTAATAACTGAGTGAAACTTTGAAAAGATGAAAAGAAGCAACCAGAAAGCGCCAAACAAGAATGGTAGGAAGGTTCTGAATTGAAGGAGGGAATTGTAGAAAAGCATGAGCACGATATTCATGTGACTAATCTGCCTTTGGAGTACAAGTGGCAAAGTCAATGATCTCAACTGTTTTGAAGAATAAAGATGTCAACAAAGGAGCTGGTACAGCACAAGGAGTAACGATGTGAACCAAATAAAGGACACAAGTGCTGCAAGAGGTGGAAAACTTTTGTTAGTGTGGTTGAATGAGAAATAGCTGGCAGGTGATAGCATTGCTGAAGCTATGATATGTGAAAAACCCAGGAAATTGTACAGTGACTTACTGTGAGAAACGCAGCTGTACAATTACAACAAATCATAAATGGAAAGGCAGTGGAAGGTGGTTTGATAAATTCCACAAGAGAAGTGGCATCCAGAAGTATGATAAGTCGTAGTGAGTCCTCTAATTCTGACAAGGCTGCTACACAAACCTACAAAAAAAATTCTTGGAATTCATGGAGACAGAAAAGTACATTGCTCAATGTGTTCAACTACAGTGCAACAGGGCAATTCTGGAAGAAGATGCAAAACAAAACCTATATCATGCAGGAGGAAAGGGTACTTACAGGGCACATGCCCATGAAGGATAGATTGATCCTTTTGCTACATGCAAATGCAAGTGCTGATCTAAAGATTGAGCCACCACTGGTGGACCATTCCTAGAAAAAAATACTTGAAATTATTCCTCCTGCCTATTGAATTTTTATCATCTGACCAATATCTTGCAAAATTCCTTTTACTATGGAAGATCATGCATTTATTGTGAAATGCATTAACCCTGAGGAAGAGTTCAACAAATTTTGTCAAGCCTTTCATTTGTTTAAAGACTAAGGTGCAAGGTGTTTAACTGTGACCTTTCCTTCGAGTGAAATGTGGGTGGAGCCCACTTGAGTACTTTGTACTATGTACATAAGAATTCTTGAATTCTTTATGATGGCACAACTTCTTTGACACTTTTTTCCTGCTTTGAATTTGTGACCATGATGCTTTGTAACATTTTCTTGAATATCTTGTTTGAGTCAACACACTAGGTGAGTAGAATTAAGGGCAGGATGGATTATGTAATCTGTGAATCTAGCGCAAGATGAAGATGAGCTCTCAGCATCAAATACGAACATTACAAACACACAAGAACTTTTTAAATTTTATTTTCAACTCATTTGCTTTCTACTTCTTGCCATGTTAGTGAAATGATGGTTATGGAGAAATCACAGGAAAGTGAAAAACTTATAGAAATGAGACACAAGTAAGACATATATCAGTGACACCTTAGCTTGTTTGAATGCAATGTCAGTACACATTTGATTGTAATGTTTTTGAAGCTTCTAAGAATGCATTATAACAGCATTATTGATACATAATTCATGTGCTGTATAATCAATCCGCTTAAAATATACAATTTAATGGTTTTCAGGAAATGTATAGTTTCTAGGGGCTCTGACGTCCTCACACTTTTTTGGGTTGCAGAAATGACCAGTGTTGTGAGCATAGAGTAAGAGAAACAGTTTGAGTTATTTTTTCACCCTGATAGTCCCAGAGATGTACAGGTAGGGGTGCAGTCGTTTGAATAACTCTGTTTAACATTTTTAGGCACTGCCAAACTACTTTCCACAGTGTCTGCAGTGTTTTCTATTCCAGCAGCATTGCATGAGGTTTCTTTGAACACTTGCCATGTCTTCACTAACAATTGTTGTTATTTTAAGAAAGAATTTCTGAGGACAAATCAGTCACCTACTTTGTTTAAATGTTTTTTTTTTTTTTTTCCGGCAGAAGCGGGGATTGAACTCAGACCCTTGTGCTTGCCAAGGAAGCACTTATTCCACTGAGCCATATCTCCCTGGCCCCTGTTTAAATGTTTAGGGGTTGGAATTTATACTTGTTCTGAAGCCATTTTTAAATAAATAGTTTTCTAAAAGGTAAATACATAATTTTCTAAGAAGCAAAATCA